ACCGGGGAAACCGCTGTATCTCCAGCTCCCAAAGCGCCTCCTGCTGGCAGAGAATTAATTTGCAGTCTGTGGGAAACACTGGTGTCTGTCAGCAAACATAAACAAAAAGCATCCTTCAGAACTGTTTTGAGAAGGTGCTTAAGTTTTGAGCCATGTATTATTACTCTAAATTGGGCTAGTACTACCATCTATTTTGTACTCTGCAATAATCATTTGCTGAAACAAGAAAAGAAAAAAGAAAATCGGCTAAACATATCGGCCAAAAAAAAAAAAAAAAACCACCATCATAAATGGGCAATGGGCGGCCCCGCTTTTTAAAAATGGCCAATTATTACTCTAAATTGGGCTACTACTACCATTACTATCTTGTACCCTGCAATAATCATTTGCTCAAACTCACTTTTATGAGATGTATGGAAAAAAAAAAAAAAAAAATCGGCATCATATATCGGCCATCGGCTGCCCCGATTTCTAAATATCGGCCAGTGAAAAACCCATATCGGTCGGGCTCTAGAGAACGCAGTTCATGGTTGCACAGAGCGCTTTGGAAAGAAGGTGGAAATGGCGCGGCTGCGATTTCCACGCATTTTTTTAGATGTTGGGAGCAGGGAATCTATATAGAGCGCCTTATTGTAGTAATATATTGTAGTAAATTATAGTATTGTATTGTAGTAAAATATCAATATTTGGCGCCAGATATCGATTCTCGTATTGCATGAAGGACAACGATATATCGCCATATCGATATATTGTCCCACCCCTAATAATTACTGATTATAATGACTTATACTGTGTATTTACGCGTTGCGTTGCGTATCGCGCCGCGTAAACATAAAACTATGTCTGCATTTGTGATCGGAGAAACGACAAACAACAAGCGCTACTCTATACTGCTTTAAAACTCGCGTTTGAATCATCAGTGGCAATTTCTTTAAATATTAAAAATTTACTTACAGAGTCAGAAGCGCCAGGCTGTCCTTGCAAAGTTGGAACTGCCCCACTTTATAGAACAGCCTTTGAGCACAGACCCATTGTAGGCTACTCTGCAGGTTCAGGAAACAGTCCTCCATAAAATGTGTCACACAGCGTCACACACGGCGGGCTTGAGTGAGGAACGGCCCACGGCCCACTTTGTCCATGGTGAAAGCCGTAAAAGTTACGCCGCCTTTCTTTGCGTGAACATTTAGGCGGTGTTCTGCAAATCTTCCCACACAGTGACGTAGACATGTGGGGGCGTGTTTAAACGAGGCTTTTATAAAGAATATCTCTTTGGATTTGAGACTTTAGTTTTTGCAAACTTACAGATCTTTATGCACCAAGAGTTTGTAACACTCCAAAGAGAGAGAAAAAAATTTAAATCGCATCATATGACCCCTTTAATTTAAAAGATCTTGTATAATATTACTTGCTGTGTTTGTTTGTTTGCTTGGTTTTTATTGTATTTATGTGATATTTGTATTTTTGTAATTGAGTTTTTGCCATGAAAATAGCCTCAGATGCTGACATGGCATTAAATAAAATTATACATCTACTACTACTTGAAAATTGTCCTTCATTGTCTACATTTAAGTTGGTGCAGTAACCATCTAATTTTTTGTTTGTTTATCCTCTCAAAATGTTTCACCAGGCAATGTTACACCAGCACACTATGATGAGCAGCAGAATTTCTTTGCACAAATCAAAGGACATAAGAGATGCATTCTCTTTCCTCCAAATCAGTTTGACTGCCTCTATCCTTACCCAGTTCATCATCCATGTGACAGACAGAGTCAGGTATTGTATGTTTGATAAAACTCTAGACCAGTTGTTCTCTATTATAGGTATGTGATATTACCCCAGAAGTTTACAGTCTAAAAATTTTTGCTGTATTGTTTGTCTAACAACAAAGATTGCATAGCCTACTTTGTACTTCAGCAATACAGCATGCAAACTAATGTTCAAGTACACAATATTAACAAAAAAAAGCAAAATATTATATTCAACGGTTTCTGTCACATTACTTTTTCCACTCATCTGCCATTAGTGGGGCGAAATGATTGTAGTGAATACAAAAATATTAAACACAAACAGAGATGCCAAAAAATATGTTGATAATTGTGTTTGATTTATACTAGGTCCCAGAAAACATTTTTATCGATCTTAAGTTAGCACCGACCCTTCTCAAATATTTAATCCGCAATTCTTCTCTGTATGTTGCTGGTATACCCAAATGGACTCTAGATTGAATGTTGTACAAACATTGTTCCTGGAATGAAAGGTTTGAGAACCACTGGCTGAAAAACTTTGTTTTCAGACTCTTTAAGACTGTAACAATAACTTGCAAAAATAACTTCTTTTTTTTTTGCATTCATAGGTTGATTTTGAAAATCCAGATTATGACAAGTTTCCTAATTTCACAAATGCTGTTGGATATGAGGCTGTTTTGGGACCAGGTGATGTCTTATACATCCCAGTGTACTGGTAAGATTGCCTTCAAATACACAGAAAAGATCGATCACAATGATTACTTTAAGATGAAATGTGTATTTCAGCCAGTCTGGCTCAACCAAATGGAGTTTGAGACGGAACTCTCTGTTTGACGAACCAAAGACAGACAGGATGAGTGCCTGGGAAAACCTGTTAGGAATATTCAGCAGGCCTCTGGCTCTCTGCCTCCATGGGCTGCTGACTTAGTTTCAAGCCTGTGAGAGTGACGGCTTTGTCTTCCAACTCCTTGCTCCCCCTAGTCACTGGAGGGCAAAATGATGTCAACCAGCTGTGTAATTCTACAGTCCATAATTTTTCCTCATGGCTGCCTGAGTGTGAACACCTCTTCTCTTCTTTTAACCTAGTGTTTCCGAAGGGCCTCCATTTGAATTAACGAGCAAACACAGAACGTACTATTTTCCAAATGTTCTCAGAGTTTCCTTGTGTGTATATCTGAACTCTAATTCGACACATGGACAAAGAGTGGTGCACAGGGGCATCATGCTGCATATGGTCTTTAAAATCAGGCACATGTTTCAAAAGTGAAGCTTGTTGCCCAGTAATGGTTCAAGTCTCTAAAAAACTTTCCAAACAGGTTTTCATTAGCTGTGTAAAAGTGCAGTTTATATGTGTAAAGTGCACATTGTGTGCTTTGCATAAATGACTATATTAAGAGAACAATCACAGTGGCAGATGTGGAAGGAATGTCCAGTGTGGGATTCAAATGGTTTTTCAGTTTGAATTTCCTGCAGTCATGGTGCTCTTATCTAAACTGTCTTCATCATAAATAGCAATTGAATGTTATTGTATGTAAAAGCTTTGTGGAAGATTTTTTACGTGTTCATTCATTTTAGAATAGTTTTAGAATATTTAGTTCTAAATGCATTTTCATATGAATTAGAAATGATAAAGCAATCCAAAAATGAGTGAACCAATATTTAAAGTCAATTATTTAAATTCAATAAATATATTTGTATACTCTACTCTTTAAAGGTTTGGGTCAGTAAGATTTTTTTAAAGAGTTTTATGCTCACTTAGGGTGCATTCATTTGATTATAAATTACTGTAAGAACAGAAATTCTATGAAATATTATAACTATTTAAAATAATTGTTTTTTATTTGTTTGTTTTATTTTAATATAATTTAAAACGTAATTTATTCCTGTGATGGCAAAGCTGAATTTTCAGCATCCGTTACTCCAGCCTTCAGTGTCACACGAGAAATCCTTCTAATATTCTGATTTGGTGCTCAAGAAACATTGATTATTGTTTTTCTCTGTTTTTTTCAGGATTCTTTGATGAATAAAGAGTTCAAAATAACAGAATTTATTTGAAATAGAAATCTTATGTAACAATGTGAAAGTCCTTACTGTCACATTTGAGCAATTTAATGCGTTCTTGCTGAATAAGTGTTCATTTCTTTAAACAAAATAAAACCTTAATGACCCCAAAACTTTTGCATAATACTGTATAGGTTTATGAAATTATCTTAAGTGATAAATGTTTGCATTTTTACTTGATAAAGGTGGCATCACATTGAGTCCCTGTTAAATGGAGGCGTGACCATCACAGTAAACTTCTGGTACAAGGTATGCTTTTGCATCACCATCTCATTCACAGTCTTATTTGTAAACATGATGTATCTTAGCACCAATCAACCAATATTGTGCAAAATATTTCCAGGGGGCACCCACTCCAAAGAGGATAGAGTACCCTTTGAAAGCTCATCAGAAAGTGGCCATAATGAGGAACATAGAGAAGATGTTGGGAGAGGCCTTGGGGGACCCGCATGAGGTACAGAGAAGTAGAACAGTCAATCAAAGCCTTTTCCGTTTTTAGGTCCTCCGATATGAATAATGCATTAAGGAATTCCCTGTGCATTTTGACCTTGACAATAACCTAATTACAAGTATATTTGTGGCTAACCTGCTTTAAACCTGAATAAAATTGTGCATGCCTACATTTGGCTGTGACTAGAGAAAAAAATTAATAACCTTTTTTCTTCTTCCACTACTTTAATTGTTTAATGCATGTTTGTTCAAAGACAGGGTTTCTGCAGGTCTTAAAATGTCCTAATTCGCCTTTCCACAAATTAAGGCCTTAAAAAGGGTTGATCAGCTTTTTTCGAAAGCTTAATTGTCTTTATGGGGTGCAGTGTAACGTGTTCATGCTTCGTTAAAAAAAAAAAAAATCTAATTATTTTCAAATTTTTTACCTTTATTCTACACCGCTGTTTTCATTCTCGTCAAAACGGTCTGTTGAGTTCCTGGTTCTATGAAGCCCCTCCCTCAGAAATACGCAATGGGCTCTGATTGGTTAGCGGGCTCAGTGTGTTTGTGATTCGCTAACTGCCTAGTGCACGTTGTCCGGAAACGTCACGCCCCCTTACCATTATGGGTAGTTGCGTGTTCCCGGGGGCGGGGTTTATGTAAACATTGGGTTAGTGAAGTCACAAACCCAGGAAAAAGCTCGTAGTCCCTACCAGCTGTTTTTTGTAGTCCTTGAACAGCGATTTCTTTAAAAGAAAATATCTCCCTTTGCGTTGAACTCTTGAGCGTCGTAACTTTGCATATGTTGTTTATGCTCTAACAGCAACATTACACGCTAACTAAAGTTCAAAAAGTGAAATCATAAGCAACCACCCCTTTAAATCAGAGCAGAAAGTCTTAAATTCTTAAGGTCATGCCTGGCAGATTTGTTCTTGTTTTAATCATGAAATATTGTTTGAAACAATTTCACAAAAAACTTCAGTCATTTTGCTTCTCATATTCTAGTGATCGGGAGCTGAGGTATTCAAGATTATTTTTTTTTTTATCCCGTTTTCAACAGGTTGGTCCATTGCTGAACATGATGATCAAGGGCAGATATGATCATGGACTGAGTTAATGGCCTGAGCTGAACTCTCTTTAGTGTGCTGCTAAGAAGGTCTGTTTATATGTATGTGTGGATATGAGTATATGCTTGTGTGTACATTCAGACTGTTGAAACAGACTGTTGCCAGTGCATGGCAGTATAAAGACTTCCGCCTTTTGTCTGTTTTCAACTATAGCTAGTTCTATGTTGGTGTAAGAGGAAAACCACTGATGAGGAATCTTAAGTTGATCTCTCCTTAACAAGTCCTTACATTCATATGTGTGCAGCATTACATGCTAAAAAATAGATGAATGCTTTATGGGGTGCAGTGTAACGTGTTCATGCTTCGTTAAAAAAAAAAAAAATCTAATTATTTTCAAATTTTTTACCTTTATTCTACACCGCTGTTTTCATTCTCGTCAAAACGGTCTGTTGAGTTCCTGGTTCTATGAAGCCCCTCCCTCAGAAATACGCAATGGGCTCTGATTGGTTAGCGGGCTCAGTGTGTTTGTGATTCGCTAACTGCCTAGTGCACGTTGTCCGGAAACGTCACGCCCCCTTACCATTATGGGTAGTTGCGTGTTCCCGGGGGCGGGGTTTATGTAAACATTGGGTTAGTGAAGTCACAAACCCAGGAAAAAGCTCGTAGTCCCTACCAGCTGTTTTTTGTAGTCCTTGAACAGCGATTTCTTTAAAAGAAAATATCTCCCTTTGCGTTGAACTCTTGAGCGTCGTAACTTTGCATATGTTGTTTATGCTCTAACAGCAACATTACACGCTAACTAAAGTTCAAAAAGTGAAATCATAAGCAACCACCCCTTTAAATCAGAGCAGAAAGTCTTAAATTCTTAAGGTCATGCCTGGCAGATTTGTTCTTGTTTTAATCATGAAATATTGTTTGAAACAATTTCACAAAAAACTTCAGTCATTTTGCTTCTCATATTCTAGTGATCGGGAGCTGAGGTATTCAAGATTTTTTTTTTTTATCCCGTTTTCAACAGGTTGGTCCATTGCTGAACATGATGATCAAGGGCAGATATGATCATGGACTGAGTTAATGGCCTGAGCTGAACTCTCTTTAGTGTGCTGCTAAGAAGGTCTGTTTATATGTATGTGTGGATATGAGTATATGCTTGTGTGTACATTCAGACTGTTGAAACAGACTGTTGCCAGTGCATGGCAGTATAAAGACTTCCGCCTTTTGTCTGTTTTCAACTATAGCTAGTTCTATGTTGGTGTAAGAGGAAAACCACTGATGAGGAATCTTAAGTTGATCTCTCCTTAACAAGTCCTTACATTCATATGTGTGCAGCATTACATGCTAAAAAATAGATGAATGCATTAGCAGAGCCTGTAAAGCACTTTTACACCACCCAGAGCGCCTGTTGTCAGGTTTTGTCCCATGTTGGGACAAAGAAGGTGCCATATGTCATGATTAAACTCCTGTGGTTGAGTCCGTGCTGTGAAACTGGCAGAGTTCCTCGAGCATATCCACAAAGGAGGATGATTTACAACTTGAAACCTACCATCAGCTCATTGACGGTTTTAAACTGTTGATACTACCATGATTTGATGGTGTTTTTTTGTGTTTGCTTTTGAATTTGATCTCAAGGATTAACAGTGTTTCTGTTAGGATAGAGGTAATGCAGAATACAATGGTCAGCCACAATGTTTTTAAAACAAATGATTTCTTATCCTTTGGTAGCTGACTCACTGAATAAAAATTTGCATTTGTTATTATTATTATTATTATTTTAGGTAAGTGTACATTAAGGCAAATGTTTTAGTTTCTTGGTGTTATTTTTCAGTGAAACATTCTATGGTACCATTTCTGTAAGGATTGTAATTTAGAACAAACTACACTTGCCAAGTGTTAGCGGTCTCTATGAATTGAAAGGAAATAAAAGATTTTGAATGGTTTGGTCTAATTTTAAGTCTTTGAAAATGCAGTTCATCAAAAAAAATGTAATTGCAACAGTTAGTTTTTATTGTAAATTCATTTTTGTTGTTAAAATTAGTGCATTTAAGATACAAAATGTTTATGCTGAAAATGATTTTGTTTTTCACTTTTGTTCCGGGAAGAAAGCAAACCACACAAATGGCCACTTCAATTATTTAAATGTATACAGTGTTTTAAAGTTTTCTTCATTACATAAACCTATTGGTATATCATGGACTTGTATCAGCTGACTTTATATTTGGCCAAAATGTCAAACAGTGTACTATCAATGATAGTAGTCATCTATCATATTACTTGCCTATCATCACAGACACAAGATATGAAATAAATCATAACTCTGGGAACATTTGTCTTGTTACAGGCATTCTTACAAAGATTACAGAATATAAAATTCTGACAAGATTATTTTGAAGTGTTTGGCCTTTCACAGACATGTCTTGTCTTTAAAATAATTATTTAACAGGTGTTCTAGCATTGTTTAACATGTGCTTTAGAGCATGATCTAAGTTGTGTACAAATGTAAGAGAACAGAACCTGTAACTTCAAAGACTATCTGCATGATCTTTTGATTTCTGTAGTTCTCAGTACTGATTTCTGAGTGGCTTAAAGTGGTTTTGTCTGTTCTTCTAGTCTTTAAATTAAAACATGTTTTCTTTTCTCACCTCTTTGTCTTTAGATGTGTATATTCCTCCACACTAAAATTTATTTATTCTTTAAACACAACCTCATTATTCTCTTCAGTGTACTTATAAAGGTAGAAAAATCTGCTTTCAAAACTATTTTAAGTAGTTTAAAAGCATTTAAAATAGACAATTGAGAAATGACAACATTCAAACAACATTATTTACTAGTTACTTTTAAAAACATCAGTCCTTGAAAAATAATGTTAATATATTTGAATCTAATCACTGCACTTCAGTTTCAGGGTCATGGAGGTGACTGGTAATGTAGACAGCGGATACTGTGATTCTATGGCAAAGACAACATGGTTTACATGTAAATGGGGTACATCAAGCACAAACAAATCTCAAATACTGGTGTAATGTGGATATGACAATACAATCGTTAATAGTGAACACAAAGCACAAAGTCTTAAATTCTTAAGGTCATGCCTGGCAGATTTGTTCTTGTTTTAATCATGAAATATTGTTTGAAACAATTTCACAAAAAACTTCAGTCATTTTGCTTCTCATATTCTAGTGATCGGGAGCTGAGGTATTCAAGATTATTTTTTTTTTTATCCCGTTTTCAACAGGTTGGTCCATTGCTGAACATGATGATCAAGGGCAGATATGATCATGGACTGAGTTAATGGCCTGAGCTGAACTCTCTTTAGTGTGCTGCTAAGAAGGTCTGTTTATATGTATGTGTGGATATGAGTATATGCTTGTGTGTACATTCAGACTGTTGAAACAGACTGTTGCCAGTGCATGGCAGTATAAAGACTTCCGCCTTTTGTCTGTTTTCAACTATAGCTAGTTCTATGTTGGTGTAAGAGGAAAACCACTGATGAGGAATCTTAAGTTGATCTCTCCTTAACAAGTCCTTACATTCATATGTGTGCAGCATTACATGCTAAAAAATAGATGAATGCATTAGCAGAGCCTGTAAAGCACTTTTACACCACCCAGAGCGCCTGTTGTCAGGTTTTGTCCCATGTTGGGACAAAGAAGGTGCCATATGTCATGATTAAACTCCTGTGGTTGAGTCCGTGCTGTGAAACTGGCAGAGTTCCTCGAGCATATCCACAAAGGAGGATGATTTACAACTTGAAACCTACCATCAGCTCATTGACGGTTTTAAACTGTTGATACTACCATGATTTGATGGTGTTTTTTTGTGTTTGCTTTTGAATTTGATCTCAAGGATTAACAGTGTTTCTGTTAGGATAGAGGTAATGCAGAATACAATGGTCAGCCACAATGTTTTTAAAACAAATGATTTCTTATCCTTTGGTAGCTGACTCACTGAATAAAAATTTGCATTTGTTATTATTATTATTATTATTTTAGGTAAGTGTACATTAAGGCAAATGTTTTAGTTTCTTGGTGTTATTTTTCAGTGAAACATTCTATGGTACCATTTCTGTAAGGATTGTAATTTAGAACAAACTACACTTGCCAAGTGTTAGCGGTCTCTATGAATTGAAAGGAAATAAAAGATTTTGAATGGTTTGGTCTAATTTTAAGTCTTTGAAAATGCAGTTCATCAAAAAAAATGTAATTGCAACAGTTAGTTTTTATTGTAAATTCATTTTTGTTGTTAAAATTAGTGCATTTAAGATACAAAATGTTTATGCTGAAAATGATTTTGTTTTTCACTTTTGTTCCGGGAAGAAAGCAAACCACACAAATGGCCACTTCAATTATTTAAATGTATACAGTGTTTTAAAGTTTTCTTCATTACATAAACCTATTGGTATATCATGGACTTGTATCAGCTGACTTTATATTTGGCCAAAATGTCAAACAGTGTACTATCAATGATAGTAGTCATCTATCATATTACTTGCCTATCATCACAGACACAAGATATGAAATAAATCATAACTCTGGGAACATTTGTCTTGTTACAGGCATTCTTACAAAGATTACAGAATATAAAATTCTGACAAGATTATTTTGAAGTGTTTGGCCTTTCACAGACATGTCTTGTCTTTAAAATAATTATTTAACAGGTGTTCTAGCATTGTTTAACATGTGCTTTAGAGCATGATCTAAGTTGTGTACAAATGTAAGAGAACAGAACCTGTAACTTCAAAGACTATCTGCATGATCTTTTGATTTCTGTAGTTCTCAGTACTGATTTCTGAGTGGCTTAAAGTGGTTTTGTCTGTTCTTCTAGTCTTTAAATTAAAACATGTTTTCTTTTCTCACCTCTTTGTCTTTAGATGTGTATATTCCTCCACACTAAAATTAATTTATTCTTTAAACACAACCTCATTATTCTCTTCAGTGTACTTATAAAGGTAGAAAAATCTGCTTTCAAAACTATTTTAAGTAGTTTAAAAGCATTTAAAATAGACAATTGAGAAATGACAACATTCAAACAACATTATTTACTAGTTACTTTCAAAAACATCAGTCCTTGAAAAATAATGTTAATATATTTGAATCTAATCACTGCACTTCAGTTTCAGGGTCATGGAGGTGACTGGTAATGTAGACAGCGGATACTGTGATTCTATGGCAAAGACAACATGGTTTACATGTAAATGGGGTACATCAAGCACAAACAAATCTCAAATACTGGTGTAATGTGGATATGACAATACAATCGTTAATAGTGAACACAAAGCACATCCATTACTAAAACTATGCAAAGCAATTACACAATATAGACAAAAAAGTAACTCTAGAAAGTATGCAGACGAAGCTTTGGTCTATCCAAAGCTTGTCCAGTGTATATGATGAGCTTAAACCCGAATTAACAGGCAGACATTGTGAACTGCATCTCAAATCAACGGTCACACAGACCCTGCTATTCTATAGTAACATATATGGAGTCTTTTTATTTCTGTATATGAAAATAAACACACAATGCAAAATACAAACACTGATGTTCAACTGTTTCCTGCCACCGAAAATGAGCTAAACTGGTTGTTTTTATAACAAAACAACCACTTAGCGGAACATTTCAACGACTTTCAGTAAAATTATGACTAAAACAGGGTTTGGCTTAAAGAAAACAGTCAAATGTAAACACCTTCATGTTTGTAGGTATAGCTTAAGGTTTTAGTAAAAAGTAGTTAAAAAAAATAAATAGAGTAACAAGGACTCGAAAAAAGAGACCTGCTGGGAGATTACACAGATCAGCAAATCAATTCAAACATCAAAACTCCAGCACCATGTATGTAAATGGACACACATTTAGACCAAGATACATTTAAATAAAAACTAAATCATTTGTTTCCAGTCACAGACAACCAGACACAAATATCCAAAACATGGAGGGTTGACTCTGAATGGTCCATCAGCAAGATGCCTTTCATCAATGAAAGCGATATTTGCGTGCTGGTTTGAGACTAACATAAGTCTTCTTCATGTCATCTGGTTCTTCTTTCTTGACTAGATGGTAACGCTCTCCCTTTGTGGTGACCACCTGACTGCCGTGATAGCGCACCAGTTTCTTAGGAGCCTGCAGATGACCATATAGGAAGTGGAAAGAATTAATATCTACATAATTCATCGATGTTATACAATGCGATCACTGAAAACATACATCTTTTGGAGTGACTGGTCTGTGCACTTTCTTGTCTTCTTCACTATCAACCAGCATGTACCTGCGGGTCCAAACATTTGATTAGGCATTTTTTTTCAGCTTGCAGTGACATCCAATATAAAAAGTGAGATCAAGGTAACAACTCACTTTTCTAAAATGCTTGCTTTAAGTTTCTGATCAACTTCAGCAGAAACAGTCTTCCCTTGGTTTGCCTGAAAACACAATTTTAAGGCATCAGTGTTATTTTAGTATTATTTATATACTATTAAAGTATTAGTTAATATTTTGAATTACCTTTTATTTTTATATTATTAGTTTTTATTGTAATTTTAGTTAAAGTTATAATACTTTTGTACTTATGTACAAAAAAAAACACTTTTTCGCTTCAATTTATTTGTATTTGTTTTAGTAATTTTAATACTTACTTTTTTTTTGTTTAGACAAATATATGACTAAACGTTTTGCGGTTTCGTTCAATTTTTTTTAAACTACGTTTTTCCATCTAATATTTATATTTTATTTTAGCCTCATTTCAATTAACGAACATTATTTTTAACAGTTTTATTTATCATCACTGGACCGATTTGCAACAAAATATCCCTATAATATCTTTCAAATATACAAAAACATTAATCTTGAACAACAGTTACGGGCAAAAAAATTATTTATAGATAATTTGATCTATAATTTAAGTTTTATGCTGTTAAATTACTTCAGTGAAAGGAGCTACAAATGAACTTACATCAAGAGACGTTGAGCACTTAAGCTGGACATCTCCCTCAATAATGAGACGCACAGCTTCCTCCATGTCTCCTTTAGCAATCGACAATGCACTTCTGGCCTCAGACACACTGCATTTAGGAAACATCTCAAGAAGATGTTGCTCCTGTTTGTCCCACGATGATTCACTAACCTGAAAACACATTTCCAAACACATATTCACTTGCCAACCAGCTGGCCATCATCTGGTACATTGTGAATGTGCTTGAAAGGCCATTACCTGAGCTGTGGCTCCCTCTGCTTGTAATGTGAGGTTGTGTGTCTTTTCTCTTGAACCTCCATGGGTTAAAGAAGTGCTTTCTGAGAGGGGAAATTTACCTTCCTCTATTTGCATCTCTCCAGATTCTTAGACACAAATCACATTTCAGTGTGCAGGACATTTTCTTGTTTCTTCACATAAGTGCCTTTGTCCTGTGCACCTGCTAATAGTCATTCAGGCTCGCGGGGGTGGGGGGTGTTTTTATGGTTGAGCTTCTTTTTTTTTTTGGACAAAATCAAATGTATCTAATATAATAATGCAACATCTGTTATGAAAGGAAAATTACCTGTATCCCGGGCTGAGGCCAACTTTGATGCCAGATTAAACATCATCTCACAAACTTTGACACTATAAGGAAATTTGTTTTTACCAACAGTCAAAAATGCATGAAAACATGATACAATTTTAATACAAAATAATTGCAAATCTCAGTAGGACTAAACTCGCAAGAAATCAGCCCACAGTTACCTGTCAATATCTGAGAAACCAGGAATGTAGGCCTCCAACATTTCAACAAACACCTCTACATCAAAGTTTTCCTCCACACTTTCTTGAGATCCCAAATCTTCTAGCACCCCAGTGATGTAGGACAAAATCACATCATCTAGAGTACTAATCAAAAATAAAAAACACGCCACTGGTATATTTTCATGATTGAGGAGAACAGAAATCTGTCATTAAAGGTATGAAGTGACACGCCCTCACCTCAGATCCGCGTGAGGAATATATGACAAAATGAAGTCGTTCAGCGCGTCGTGGATTGTTTTTTGAAGATCCATCCTACATGCAGTCGAATTAAAAAGGTGAAGAGAGAACAAAGAAGAAATGACAACTTATTAGAGAAGCTTTAATGCAGGTATGTTTCAGAAAACAAACACGAGGCTACAGAACTGTGCTCAACATCAGCTGAATCAAACCAGAAGAGTCTGTATAATTTTGGTTCTCAGCAGTTTCAAATCCTGCGAAAAGTTCAAACTAATTTCTCTCTTATGCAAGGCCTAAGTAGTCCAAAAACAGATTTTTGTTTTGCGTGCTTCGACGTCGAAGCGGATTCAGTGCACTTCTTTAAATGACCAAATAATTGTATCGCGTGTTGGAAAACGGCAACGCTTGCACGCGATCTCCACACATTGTTTTGGCGTTTAATCATACGATTGTACAATCAATCAATCTTATGGTTAACGTTTTAGAAACACGGTGGACAAATGATATGCGTTCATCCGCTGTCAGTAGAAGCATTTGATCCCGATATCATGGTTTGTTTATCTGTGCTCAGTTGGGCAGCCGATGGCTAACTAGCATAGTCCTATAACATGCGCAAAGGGCTTCAGATGTTCATCTCACCTTTGGATCAAACCGCACAGCTGAAAGAATAAAAAGAAAACAAAAACGCTCGTAGAAATTGAAAGCTTGTGTTGGCAAGCTGGCAATAAATCGTCAAATGTTTAGCTAATACACTAGCCCTGCGCGCGGTCGCCGAGGTTCAAAACCTTTGACGTCACGTCCGCTTTAATGTAAACACACCCTCGTGTCACTTGTTTTGATTGCGTTTACAGAGTTACAAACGCATTTAATTCTCTATTCTGCTTTATGATACTATTTATTCAGCATTCTGTGTCATAGTACAGATTTACGCTTGAAGTTCAAATGTGAGCCTACCTGTTTTGTGCTCCTATAGTTGACTGTGATTTATTATGATTGCTGTGATTACTAAGTTGTAGTTGTGATATATTTTAATGGAACAACTCATTCACAAACAAAGGCCAAGGTAAGTCACCCGTCACACTGACACTTTTTTTTTTATCGCCAACCAATTGCAAGTAGAGATTGAACAATGTTTTGTATAACGATTTTGCAACGCATCAATAAAAAAATATATTTTATGTATAATAATAATAAGAATAATAAAACAAACTAAACGTTGTATATAACTAATAATATTTTATATAAACTAATACATTTAATAATAAACTTATACATTAGATATATGTTTATTTACAGATACATACACAATTTTTTGTATTGCTAGCATAACTACTACTATAATAATAGTAATAATTGTGTTATTATTGTCCTCGTCATTATTGTGCATAAACTATTATAAATAGTTTATTTTAATTTACATTTGTTTTTATTGCTTGCATAATTAATTACTACTATAATAATTTTATGTCATTTACATTTTTGTGGTTGTACATAGCTAATTATTTTTTATCTCTGTTTTCCGTTTTGACCTCTTTTAGGTCAAAATGCTATGGGTCTCTCACTTGAGTATGAATGGCTGTAATGTGAATTGAGAAAGGTATGCAAATAATACAGTGAATTAGGTACTTTACCTGTGAAACACTGTTGTTTTCTGTTAAATGTGATCTAGCAAAGGATGTCACTTATCGGTAGACCCGATACTGATTAAGAATATCAGAAAGAAAAAAAAAAAAATCAAAAATCCATTATTGATCTGTCTCTAATAGCAAGTACTGTCTGTGGAGTTTTACTGATCTTTTTTAAGGCCCTTCCGCACATACGTCAGCATCTGTTAGCGCACATATAAGGGGTAAAGAAAGCTCCAGTGTTATTACACTAGTGTATGCTGTCACGCCTCCTGATTACAAATTGGTTTCATAGATGTTTAGCACTGCATAATTAATGCTTTATCGAGTGCGTGTTTTATCCAGCTGCACTGTTTCATTATTAGTACGGGAAATACAGTACATGAGGCTGATAATGAGTCTAGGAGAAGACGTCTCATCTTGGCTGGACTTTATTTAACCCTCTTGGGTCAGTGGCATGAAGAATTGTCTTACAAACTGAGTGCATGAATGAAACCCATCCCTATTCCTTATATATACCGTATATACACAGTCAGTAAGTATATAATAAGAATATAGCGGTGTAATTATTTAGACTTAATTCCGGACTTGTTAATGAAGTTGACAACAAAAAAACAAAAAAACAGCCTAACCTTATGGATAGTAGATGCTAGCTTTTAATGCATCAGATAATATGCATTCTTAATTATAAATGCAAATGACTTATTCATAGGAAAAAAGGCTATAGGGTAAGATCTTGATGAAAGTTACATATTCTAGAGGTGAATTAAAGCAGTACATTTTTATTTTTACTAGGTGAAGGGAAGTAAATACTAAATAGAGAGGCTAATTGTCACTAATAATGGGGTATGTTGTCACAATGGCATTTCATGAAACAGTAAAAATGTAAATGGTAACATACAACGAAGTTACTATTAAATTAATAGTTTAAAATAAAAAATGTCAACTTGTCAACTCAATTTGGACTATTTCCTGACCTGTAATAAAAAATGTTTAATGGTTAATGTTCCAGTTAAAATCTACCTAGTTCTATTGTGGTCTATTGTTTCCAGCAGCTATAGAAAAATATCACGGTGCTTTCATTTTAGTTTGTGGGATAAATTGTGAAATAGATTTGGAGATATATTGAAAAAGTTTGGTGAGATTCACGGTGTGAACACTAGGTGGCTGCATTGAGTCATGATGCACTTTTGCATCGTTACTGTTGACTTTAACAGAAACATTGATGCATTCATAAATCGGGAAATGTAAAATCAGTTTCTCAACAGTATCACATTTAGTTTTTATGGGGTTTACAGAAAATGGTTATTTTCTAGTTTCTGCATGTTCGTTTTGTATTGCGTCTAGAAATAGAATTTAGCTGATTTTCCTACAGAAAAATCTTTAAATTTTTTTATATAATATTGCTTATTTATTTTCTTAAATACTAAAATGAATGGATATGATTTATTTTGCATTATATAATTTATTTTTCTTTTAATATAAAAATGCTGTTTGAGTTATGGATATACAAAATGATCTAATTTTGTAAAAGACAAAACATTAGGTTGTACTACTTTATTTTTTAAACTTTCATACTGGTACTGGAGGCACTGTTATAGTTGGCCTAGTCTTGCCTTGCATTCTCTCATTTGCCATTACAGACACAAGAGAACTATTTTCCAGTTGAAGGCACGATGTCTCCCATCTGCCAGTGTGCCAGAACCCTTGAGCTCAAGGTGGGCCACAGAGACCCTGTACTGAACCCGCAGGGACCACTGTGTCATGAAGCACATCCCGTAACATAGCTTTAACATACTGTATGAAACACAATGCACTTACATATGTTAAAATGTTCTGGATGTTTGTTAAACACACCTGGTTGTTGTGCACTCAGAAACCAGATGAGAAATCAAGAACTTACAGCTGTATTGTGAAAATCTGTGTTATACATTTAGTATCAAAAGTTTAATTTAGGTTTCCCTCTGAAAAATAATTTCAAAAATTAGTTTTAAAAAGATTAATTTGGTAGTTTGTGTCTTTTGATGACACCTATATTATTGTGTATTTTATTGTATATCAGGATAAATCTATTTTAGCTTGTCTTTCTAAAAATACACAGATCACTTTGTTTTTTTTTAAATATATATTTTATAATTTTATTATTTCATTTGCCTGTTAAAAATGAATAACTACATCTAAAACATTTTGCATTTAAAATATTAAAAAGCAATTAAAAGGTTTTCACTCATAGTTAATGGTATGCTCAAGCATGTCATTCAGCAATGGAAGGCCAGGATACACAATGTGCATATTATGTTAAAAGAGAAAGATTTCCATTTGATCAGACACAATAGAGGAAGCCTTGATCTCCGCTTTGCAATTTCCTCTCCTTCGTTAGAGGAGCCAAACACGGTGCGAATAAATTTACTGCCAAATTAATTACCTTTTCCCCAACTTTAGACAATAATACCAGAAGCTGTCTGTCGGAACACATCTCTAATTATTTTATTAATGTTTGATTCACAGTTCAGGCACAGCGATTTCACATTTTTTATTAACTTTATTATACTTTGAAGTGAATGTGCATTATTTTATATTAGATGATCTGAATTGAATTACCCAAGTGCCAAAATCAAATCAACAGATTTTTGTTTTCACCTCACAGATATCGTAAAAAATTTAACAAATCTATTGTGCAATTGAAGCCACCGAGTTTTATTAATGAGCTTTTTCAAGCTTTCACAATTTGCCTCCTCAACCTCAAATAGTGAAATAAATGAATAGAATTTAATCACACAGTCATACTGCATGAAACTGTGCTTTCCATCAACACTTACATGGGAGGAAAAAAATTCTGATTCAGTTTTTTTTAAAGAAAATATATAGATATTCGAAACGAATGCAGTTTATTGTTAATGTTCAGTTTAAAAGCAAACCATTTTTCACTTAACTACATTCTCAGGCAATATATAACATTTAAACTAAATGCTACACTACAATTTATTTAATTATTATTATTATTATCTTTTTTTTAATTTTTTATTATTATTATTGTGCATTTAAACTTGTGTGTTGCCAGGTGGTGAGCTCTGACTCTTACCTTTATGAGTATAGTAGCAGGAAACTCAATGTCAAACAGCATTTTGCAGGCATGGCAAACATTATTTAGACCCGCTTCTGTGGCCAGGGTATCAGGCTTGGGGGTCTGGAGCTGTATCAAGCCATCAGAGCTGGCTTATCCGGACTCCTGCAAGGCAATGCTTGCCTTCCCGTCTGGCTCCTGCTTAGATCCTGTCTCAAGGAAATAGGCACCAGACTGGCCACTGCTCCCTAAGACCCGCTGCGAACAAGAGGCATAATGCGGTCTTGTGCAGTGGATGTCGTCCTACTCTAATGTAGATGAGTTTAAATGCTTGAATAGACCACTGAACTCACGGTAAATGAGCATGTCTGAATTTGTTGAATCTGACATTATATTGAAATTATATTGTTTTGTTAAGTAGCTTTCCATCTATCACCATGTTTGTAATGTTTGGTTTCGTAT